TGTTCTTGAGAAGAAGATTTTAAAAAAAAAATTTTTGTACATATTCAAATGTAAGACTTTGTTCACCCACTGTGGCCCCACTCTACCCCCAGGGTCATTATTTGAACGAACTTGAATCTACACTACCCGAGGATGCTTCCATATAAATATGATTAATCATGGCTTTGCTGTTCTTGAAAAGATTTTTAAAGAATTTTCCTTTATAATCTTTTCATCACCCATTGTGGCCCCACACCACTCCCCCCCCCCCCCCCGAGGGGGGCTCATGATTTAAACAAACTTGAATCTACATTATGTAATGAAGCTTTTATATTTGTTTCATCCTTTCTGGCCATGTGGTTCTTGAGAAGAAGCTGTTTAAAAGATGCCATTAAATCTTCACTAATTCTGAATTATCTCCACTTGAAAGAGGGCTTGACACTTCATTTGAACAAACATGAATTCCATTCACCCGAGGATACTTTGTAGCAAGTTTGGTTGAAATTGTCCCAGTGGTTCTTGCGAAGAAGTCGAAAATGTTAACAGTTTACAGACAGACAGACTTCAGACAAAGATCAATTGAACTTTCAGCTCAGGTAAGCTTAAAAGGCCGGTTGCCAATACCCATTTTTTTTTTATCTTTATCATGCCAACGCCTGCCGTGACACGGGTTATCGGTTTTTAAGGTCTCATCCGAAGGACCCGCTACTTTCACTTCAAAGTGCCGAGCGCATGGCGAAGGAACAGTTGCTACCCAATTTTTATCGACTTGGGTCAGTCGCGGCCTAGATTCGAACTCACGACCTTCTGATCACGGAGCGAGCGCTCTACCGACTGAGCTACCGTGAACGGTTATGGAAAAATTGACCATAAATTTAGGATAAATAATAATACGGTCGGCAGGGGATGCTCACTCCTCCGTGGCACCTGATCCCACCTCTAAATTTTGAGGTCCGTGTTTGCTCTGCTCCAAATTTGTATCGATTCGTTTCATTGGTTTTTCGAGATTAGTAGAGTTCGTTATCTTCATATTATCTTCATAATTTATAATGTAAAACGTACTTTCATAGTTTAAATAGTCAGATAAACTTGTAAATAATAGATTAATAAAAATGAGACAAAAATATCTTATCTTTTTTTACAATAGGTATTCTTCAAACAGGCCAATGGTAATATGTTTATTGAAAGTGCTCAAGCACTGACTATTGTTTTGTTAGTCTGCATGATGACAGGACTTGACAAATGGGAATGTATTAGCACTTGCACGTACAAGCAAGTAAATAGATATACGATCTACATTATAATTAGACTTACTATTTTGTTGATCCCGGATCATCCTATTTCTTTTTATTTGGGGCAAAATATCTTCTTCTGTCAGTTTTGATCCATTACAGTGTTGTATTATACTCAGGTAACCGTTAAGGACCTTGGATCTCTTGTTTAAACCAATATACTCTTCTTCCAACTCCAATACTCCAACTTTCAGAGTTAGGTTATTTCGGTATGACATTGATTCTATTGCTTTCAATAGCAGAGTTTCTAGTTTTATTTTCGACTACTTGACATCTTCATCATTTCAGGGAAATAAACTGAATTTTAGTGTTTCGTGATTCGGGGGTCAAGACTTACCAGACAAACTATTTTCATGATTGTAGTGAGTATAATTACCCTCTACCTAAATAGCAAAATCTTTGATGCGTGAGTTATTTACCTTTCGCAATATCCTCCCATTACATACAAGAAAACCTTTTATAATGCACACATTCTGCCTTCTTTAAATTAGTGTTTACCATATGTATTACTTTAAATTACAAAATACTCCATGATATGGCACCGAAATATCTGAGAGACTCATTAGAATTTCTTTCTTCCAATGTTTTTGCTTTACGTTCTGAAACCAAATATGACCTTCGTCTACGAGAGTATCGAACAAATCTATTTCAAAACTCTTTTCAGTATTCCGGCATTCATTACTTTTACACGTACGATTTTCACCAACTGTACAATCCTTTTGTAAACAGGTTTTAATCTTTAACCCTTTACAAGTTATCATTATGTCTCTTTAATTTACACTAAGCAAAATTGCCAAAACACAACCAAAGAAAATTAATATTTTACTTTTCAGAGCTTGTTTCTGATGTATTTGATATTTAAATATGTTACCAATGAAAGTAAACAATTAGGCATTTAAATGTCTAAACTTATTAATTAATACAATTTTAACTGAAGCGTAACCATTTCATAGAAAAAAAGGAAAATCGTGCTCACATTTTTGGAGGAATAAATCGAATGCGAGCACGATCGAATCCTGGTCTGGTCCGTGACCATCCGTCGCATTTTCTCCTTTCCTGTGTATGAATTCTGATATAATATTCTCTTTTCTTCTCTGATATTCTTACATGAATTAGTAAAGCCATTCCAAGTTTTTTCTATGTTTATCGTCCACCCATCTTTCTAAAACCTACCCACCCAGGGATTTATCAGCCTATTTTGGGAAACGCCATTTTGGGAATTGGGAAAAATTTATCGGCTTTTTGATGAAATTGGAAAAAATAAAACTCTTGCTACCATCATGTATTCAGGTGTAATTCATTTAGCATTTTAGCATGATGATTAACTCTAATTTGGGCAACCAAATGACAATTAAATATGATCCAACTTCATCACACATGATCAATTATGATAATGATTAATAGACTTCAATACACTCTGTAAAACTAAATTTGATTTCAATGGATATAAAGTATATATACAACTTGGGGTAGTAATGTATGTATAAGATTCCAATTTAGGTGATTGGAATCTGTTTCTGGAGATTATAAACCTCCGACAAAAAATTATACTATTAAGTACCCATTTTCTCAAAGTCCCCTTTTAATATGTAAAATGCATTGAAGATATATTTTTCCATCTGAAATATATGCCTACAGTTCTTACCATTCACTCGTAGAGCAATTGAATAGGTGGAAATAACTTAATACCGGTAAATCTATATCATCGTTTTTAAAAAAACGGAGGAAATTCGGATTAAAAGTCGGCGATGTTTACTAACAGTGTTTTTCAACACCTTATGACTGTAGCTTTGCTAAATGAGATAAATAGAGGAAAAATACAGACAATCTGACAATTTTACTGAGTTTTTTTAACAAAATAATTAAACATCAAAGAATTGTTCACCAATTGGGAAAAAAATACTGCCAAATTGGGAAAAATTAAACTCATTTTCAATTAGGAATGGGGCCGAATTTCGGCCCCTGAGAAGGTACTGATAAATCCCTGCCACCTATTCGCAAAAAATACACAAGACAAAAACTGAAATACAGACTTTAAAGTCTGTAAAATGACGTCAATCAAAGCATTTGATTTCATTAATCTATTTTTTCTCGTAGAAAGATCTATTCTTCAGCAAAAACAAGGTATTAAATGCTTAAAATATGCCTAAGATCACATATTGTAGACAAATAGAGAAATTGACAAAATTCATAGATTTTGACCAAAATAAACAATTTCAGGACTCCCGATTTTATTTGCTTTTTCTGATATGGGGTATCAAAAACCAAGGCTTACGCAGACGCTAAGCATAGAAAAAAAAATTGGAATGGCCTAAAAGAGAAATGCAGGTGGCATATGAATTAGAAAAGTACAAGGAATGTTCTTTTAAAAACTACGACTGCTAAGGCCCATGGGCCTTTTGGTTTTTACTGGATTTATAATTGAAATCTGGTTATAACTCAAAACTTGATTGGATAAAACATTCCTTTATATATCGTATAAATTGGGTTGCTTACGTCACAATGACTTTCGTCAAAAAGTATCCATCCGCCTGACGTTACATCTAAATTTTGTACAATTCGAAGTAATTTTTAAGGGCGATCATCTCTTTTTTTCTTACACTAAATGAATGAAAATTAAATTATAAGGAATGAAATTAATAGCTACCCAATTTATACGGTATAAAGTGGGTTGGAACAGTTTACGCTTTTTTTATAAGACGCTTCACGGTTTATAAAGCGTTAACTGCCCCAACCCACTTTATACGGTATAAATTGGGTGGCTATTTAAAAAATAATCCCTTAAAGTTATAAATCGAAAAGGAAGTTTTATTTCAAAATCCTGTTTGAAGTTCCTGAAAGTTACGAATTGTCCACTTGGCTAATAGTAGGATTAAGATCTAATGGCCATCTGATAAGAGATAGAGATAATTTCGAAGAATAAAATCCAAAATTAAATATCATCAGGTGTTACTTACATAGCCAAGTATTTGTTCAAGTACCTTGCTTCATTACATGTATATGTTTTCTATTTTGAATTTATCATTTTTGACACTAAATACTACATGTATTTTTATATATAAAGCATATTTTTTAGATTTCCCTTTCTGATGATAAACTATTGCTTTTTCTCTTCAATGTGTCAATTATTTTTCCTGTCATGGTTATACATCAAATTAATTTCTGAAAGAGTCAGCCTTGCTTCATGCTTAAAACTTTTTTTTCCATTGGAATCTCATACTTTTGTTGTTGATGAAAATCATGTTGAGAATTTTCTAATTTTTTCTTCCCTTTTTGAATGAAATTTAGAGCAGAGCTTTATATATAAAACCTTAAATATTCCTTTTAGAAAATGTCCAAACAGGTATTATATCACAATTATACCAATATTGCACAACGGGAAATTCATACTTGGTTTGTGGAATTATATGTTTAAAATTTTCATATTACGATGCTTTCAGATAATTAAATGAACAAACAGATTAAAGATTATAATTATGATCAAATTCAATAACAACCTTTGTCGTTGTTTGAATCTACAACAAAATGATGCAATCTTTGCCCTTTCCTTTTGAATTTAATATATGCAGTGACGAATCACAAGAAAAATTATTTTAGGGTCCAGTGTCAGAGCAAAAACGACTCTTTCTGTCCAGAAAATGAGTTGTGTTTAAATCAGATACTTGATTATAACTGAATATTTTATATACAATAAATGTAATCTTCTCGATATTTTTTCCACAGATCAAAGCTGTCTGCAAATAAATGTTAAGGACAAATGCTATTTGGCAGAAGTAACATGCTCACAAGAAAAAGGGTATTTATCTTTACATTTTTTCAAACCTGGTAATCAAACACTTGTATGTTACTTTGATTATTATAGGGTTTGTCATTATTTGAACAATGTAGTTTTAACATTTTCTAGAGGACCGTATGTTCCTAACTTAATCACACAATTAAATGGTTTGAGCAACCATCACAAACTATAGGTTCACATAGCAATAGGTTTCAAATTTATAGACTCCTGATATCTTTTAGTCTCCTGTCTACAGGTTTTACCGTATGCAATCATCGCAAAAATAATTAACATACTTGTATATTAGACAGACTGTGTATTTTTACCTACTATGCTGCAACCGTCATAATCCGTATAAACACAACATAGAAAGTATTGTATTGTTTAAATAACCTGAAGCCAATGAAACTATACCAGGTTATATACTGAATGGCCAATATATTATCATAAAATATATGTGAACAAGTGAATTCTACACATTCGATGCAGACATGGGATTTTAGGGGAAACGTTAAAACTCGTTGTTACGAAAATGGATAGAAAATTGTGTTTTCTGGAGTAAGATATATCATTCTGTATACGTATTAACGATGAAAACTATCATCGATACAAAAAAAGAAGAAGTATCTTTAATCAAAACGCCACCCTTTCAACAATTTTGTTCTGATTCAAATAAAACATTCTACACAAGTACACTAAACTACGACTCAAAATATCGTCGTTGCCACAACGCAACGTAGTTTTGAACTTAAATTTCTTATTCCCTGTATAATTTAAGAGTTCCAATAATTGAAGAACCTTTGTGCAATTTTATAATCCCTGGATGTTGTACACCTCTAAATCAAATTTACAGGAAATACTAGCTAAACTATATTTTTGTTAATTTTCTTAAAAAACACAAGGATTTTTATCATTTGATAACAGTTCAAAACTCCAAGTAATGTATGCTGATTTTTTGTCTAGGAACATCTGATGGTAGTATGATTTTAAATTAGGAATATCTTGGAAAATTATAATTGGGAAAGGTACATGTAGAGTACATGTACATGTTCGTTGCGTATGTCCTTAAAAAGGAACATGCGAAAATCTTTTCTGAATGCTATACTGTCATGTTGTAAATTTTGAATTTACCGGGTGGCATAGTTGTCATGTTGTAAATTTTGTATTTACTGCCATCCGGTAAATTCAAAATTTACAACATGACAATACCTCCTCCAGTTTTGATTTATTTAACAAACCTTTGTACAAGGAAATGGAACATCAGTTACATATAGATTGCTCTCCATGCATTGTCGCACAGGTCGGTGTAACAATCATTTCCATTTTAATACATATAATAATAATTATTCTTTTTTAACATATGCTTCAATGTATCAATTATTTATTTGATATTTCAACAACATTAACAGACTGACTACAGGTTTCACCATTGTACCTACCAATACAACAGATGAGGAAAGGTTTACAAATAGAAATGAAGAAAGCATCATCGCAATTGTATCAACAACACACCAGTCTACCATTTCATCTAATTCAACATCATCGTCAAATCGGGTATCAACAGAAGAACAACAAGGTTATATTATTGCGGTGGTTGTAACCATTATCATAATTCTTTTAATAGGCGGATTTATTCTTTGGTTGAAACGACGAAAACAAAAAGTAAGTATGCTACAAATATTTTGATTTTGTTTAGAAAATATACGCATTCAACAAAAAAGTTGATAAAAGAATTTTAAGAATCTCGTTTAAAGTCAACATTTCGCAAATTCTATGGTCAATACAATGACCTTGTTTGCAACTACAATCTATCGTTAAGTCGAATGTTGACTGACGTCTTTCATACAAATTTTAGGCCATACTTTTCCCACTGAATTCTCTAGGGATTTTTTGTTTACCCGATCATGAAAAAGAGCACACGGCAGGTGTGACCGGTTGACAGGGGATGCTCAATCTTCTAATGCACTTGACTCCACCTCTGTTTTCAGTTTGTATTGTTTGATTGGACATTGAGCTTGATAACTATTTGTTGTCCACATTTCTATTAAGTATAAATTAATTACAACTAAATCAGTGCAGGTAAGTAAAAAAGCCCCAACAATGATATGTACTTAAAATATTAGCTGGCAGAAGGTTGTGAACTTTCCGGATCAATCTATGACAGCATTTCAGTTGTTTTCCGCCCTCTTCATAATCAAAATTAACAAACACAAAAAAAGAAGGAGGTATATGTCCCTGCTCGAACGAATTGATATTGACTGTATTTAGTTATTTATAGATAATGGAGCAAGGCCTTTAGGTTATAAATGTTATCTTAGTTATCATTGCTATGATGAAATGATAGTTCACTTGACTTCTTCACTTCTTCATGTTCTTCACCAGAACGAATTCAAAAACACAAATTTCGCTGCAAAATGTTGTGCCTCTTTGTTGGTCATTGAGTTATTTGATTCCCCCTCCACCCCCTACCCCCTGAAATTAGGATTGAAGAAACAGCGTTTTTGTTTAAATTTTACAACAGCTAAATAAATGCTTTAATCATGCTGAATCCAGGACCATTTTAAGTCATTTCAGGGGGGGGGGGGGGCTAACATATTCTTGACAAGGAGGAAAAAATATCATGACGGTCCCGTTTTACAGAAGAGCTTACGACTGAGACAAAAATACATGTATAGTTTTTGTGAATATTTAATTATTTTCTTCTTTACGTTAGTCAGAAAGGGGAATTTAATCAAATTTTATAAGAATTTGGAAATACGTTTTTAGAGACAATTGAAATCGGAAATATTGGGTAGGACGGATTTAGAAACGGATGAAATTTTGATCTTCGTTTTAAATTCTTTTGAAAGAAAAACCAGGTCCCTGGAATAATACTTAAAGTTGCAAATATTAAGTGAATATATTGATTAAATGAGAGATGAGACCCTTGTACTTTTAAAAGTTCTTTCTTTCATTGAAATAGACTCACGAAATCTCGGATGAAAATGAAATGCTTCTCCGTAAAAGTAAGTTAATTTTATACAAATAATTTACTGAATTTATGGGGGAAAATCATCAATTTGCCTCCACAAATCATAATAATTTATAAATAAAGAGGATGCAGAAATATGCACATTTGGCTTGTGAAACACTCATATCTCAAATCAAAGCTATACGCACTGAAAAAAATAATACGGTTTCATCACGAATTTAGATGACCACGAACCATAGATTTTACTGTTAGAAATATTATTCTAATATTTAACAAGATGCGTTTGAGAAACACTGATGCCCCCGTATGGCAGCTTATGGTGAAGGTTAAAGTAAAGTTTCTTAAATGCAAGTCAAAATCCAGGCCAAAATATGAAAAATGTTGGTACCCAAAGAAAGGTCTTGTTTCGAGGAATATACCTGTGAAATTTGAAAGCCCTAGCTGCAACTGTTCAAAAGTTATGGCGAAGGTTAAAGTTTTTTAAAAGAAAGTAAAACGTCAAGGTCGAGGTCAAAGTTGTTGGTATCCAAAGGAAGGTCTTGTCACAAGGATTACATATGTGAAGTATGAAAGCCCTAGCATCAACCATTCAAAAGTTATGGCCAAGGTTAAAGTTTTTCATAAGTAGGTCAAACTCCTAGGTCAAGGTCTAAAGGTCAAAGTGGTTGGTATCCAAAGGAAGGTCTTGTCACAAGGATTACATATGTGAAGAATGAAAGCCCTAACGCCAACCATTCAAAAGTTATGGCGAAGGTTAAAGTTTTTCAAAAGTAGGTCAAACTCCTAGGTCAAGGTCAAAGGGTCAAAGAGGTTCATATCCAGAGGCGTCTTGTCATAAGGAATACGCATGTGAAGTTCCTAACTCCAACCGTTCAAAAGTTATGGCCAAGGTTGTAGTTTTTGAAAAGTAGGTCAAACTCCAAGGTCAAGGTCAAAAGGTCAAAGTTGGTATCCAAAGGAAGCCTTGCCACAAAGAATACACTTGTGAAGTTTGAAATCCCAAACACCAACTGTTCAGAAGTTATGGCCAAGGTTAAAGTCTCATAAAATTTTGTTAAAGTGGGTCAAACTCCAAGGTCAAGGTCAAAAGGTCAAATATGATGGTACCCAAAGATAGGTATTGTCACAAGAAATACACATGTGAAATATGAAAGTCATAGCTCCAACCAATCAAAAGTTTTGGACAAGGTTAAAGTTGACAAAGGACAGACAGACAAACAGATAAACAGACAGACAGGACAAAAACAATATACCCCCGGGATCTTTCGATCCCGGGGCATAAAAAATAAGAAAATGTGGTCCCAAAGAAAAAAAGAAAGATTGATGATACCGTAGTATGATTATACAATCAATCAGCATTAGACATGCTGTATCTAAACTGTAGCCACAAATAATTTTTAATAGGGTCATAAACGACATCACTAAATTTTTCTTTCAAATGGTAATTCAAGTACAACCAGTCTCGTGTTTTAACAAAGGGTATGTCTAATATATAACATGTTTTCAAAAATCATTAAAGGTTTACCTGACGATTTTTCTTTGGCGCTGTGCCAAACTGAAACCGAAGGCTTCCTCATTCGTTCCACACAAATCTACGACCTACCTCGTGATTTAGTTGTTACATGGAGAAAGAATGGTAAAAAAGTAAAGGAAAGTGACAAAATACGTACTTCGACACTGGACGGATATTTCATTCTAAAAATTAGCGATTATGATGAGACAGTTGAGGGAAAATACAATTGTATAATTCAAACGAGGGAGAGAACCATCGAGAGCAATATCATAAAATTAAAGATAGGTAATGTACACTTCTATGCCCTTTTATAAAAAAAACCCTTTAATATTATTGCGAAAAAAATACATCCTGTATATTACACTGAAGCAGAAAAACAAAATGATTTTCAACCCAACTGAAGATCACATTGTCGAGTATAGCTAAATGGACTTATGAAGAATTCAAGATGATTTTTAAAAATTTGTATGAGGGGTTTTGAGGAGTGTTTGGATACTGACATTGTAGTTACATGTATATTTTTTCATTGTATATTATTGAGAAGTTTTAATTTACGTAAAATATAATTTTTGTTAAGATTTGACTTATATTCATTTTCATCATTTTGCAGATGAGTTTATCGATCGATCTTGCCTGCTAAATGTTTTGATTTGTTGCATGTTGCTGCAGAGTGAGTACAAAATGCGTCTGCACGAAGATGTATCAATAAATGAATCACTTACAGCACTGAGTGTTCTATTCAAATTAAAAGATCATCCCTCTCTCCAATCACTAAAAGATATTGCTTCCTCCGAGACTGACATATTTCATGTCCAAAATGATATCATATCATTCAAGACAAAGGCAGAAGAAGAAAAACAGCTTGAAATCTATACATCTTGGGATGGTTTCCTCGACATATTTATCAAACATTCAGAATTAGAAAATATCAAGGACTACTGCAGGCAGGAATTAAGAAGAGAAGAACTAGCACCTGTCATTGAGAGGATGGGCTATGATTTTGTTATTCATTATCCTCTTCCAGACCCCTCACAATTTGCTTTTATATCTGCGAAATGTAAGTACATGTTATATGTAAGTATATTCAATATGTTTAAACGTATTACTAGTTTTAACTTTAAAATTTTGATTCATCCACATTGTTGACGAGACGAGAGATCGTTAAAATCAATAATGCAATGTACAGAAAACTTTACTCTTGAAAATCGGGCAGTTGATTGTAGATATGAATATATTTCAAGTTCACTAGGATATATCGAGTCGACATATCGAGTCGACGTATGAACGGAATTAACTATTTTTAATTGTTAAAAAAGGAGGTCTGCAATAACGGGGCGCAATTGGTAAACATGAGAATTCCGACAGATTGTTGGAAGACCTGATCTCCAAAAATTACATTAACATTGTCAACCAGAAATCAAGCATTTTTTTAGTATCAATTTCAGATTTAAGCACGTGTGCATGCATGTCCTTGTATTCAATTTTGATAGTAGCATTATGCAGGAACCAATTATACCCATCTGTATTCTAAATTTCGTTCTCTTTTGTTCAAAACTAAGAAAGTTATAGCTATTTAGAAATTTTAGCCAATCAAATTACAGTAAACGTGGATGTACGTGTTTTCCAGTTTTTTTCGTAAATAGCATACTGTAGAACACCTTATAATATACCGATGATCAAAATTGCAAAAAAAAAAAGGGGGCGGGTTATTGAGATTTTTATTCAGCAAATAAGAGCGAACCACACGTGCATGCACGTGCGTTTATGCCTTTTTAACTATGCCATCTTGTCTAAATCACAAATATATCTCTTCATACTGAGTATCAAAGCATTTCATAGGATATATTAAAGTTACGGCTATATCAAGTATATCAGTCATTTCACTCATTGCACCCGCACGCACGTGCATGCATGTGTGCGCAAAATAATCTTCATTCCGCAGATTTTCACAAAATGCCTACTAACCCTAAAAAGGTTTTAGCTCAATTGGATGAGAAGTTGTTGAGACCACTCATGGACAAAAAAGTACCCAGGAAGAAAAAATATAACTGGAGCAAAGCTCGTTGCAAATCATCAAGTAGGTCTTCCTTCCGATTTTCAGTTTCACTGCTTGGAAGGTTCTCATTATGGCGAACGTCATTCGACGAATTATGTTGGTCTGTCTTTGGTACATTTTTATAATCGAATTCTGGGAAGATATCCGGAAGCAATTTTTAGCTCACCTGAGCTGAAAGCTCAAGTGAGCTTTTCTGATCACCCATTGTCCGTCGTCCGTCCGTCTGTAAACTTTTCACATTTTCAACTTCTTCTCAAGAACCACTGGGCCAATTTTAACCAAACTTGGTACAAAGCATCCTTGGGTGAAGGGGAGTTTAAATTGTTACAAGTCCCCTTCAAAGGGGAAATAATCAAGAAAAGACAAATATTGGGTGGGGTCATTAAAAAATCTTCTTCTCAAGAACCTCTGGGCCAGAAAAGCTGTAACTTATTTAGAAGCATCCTGGGGTAGTGTAGATTCTAAATTGTTCAAATAATGACCCCTGGGGGTAGGGCAGGGCCACAATAGGGAATCCAAGTTTTACATTGAAATATGTAGTAAAAATCTTTAAAAATCTTGTTCTTGAGGACCACTGGGTCAGAAAAGCTGAAACTTATGTGGAAGCACCCTGGGGTAGAGTAGATTCTAAATTTTTCAAATCATGACCCCGGGGGGTTGGGCGGGGCCACAATAGGAAATCCAAGTTTTACATTGAAATATGCAGAAAAAATCTTTAAAAATCTTCTTCTCAAGAACCACTGGGCCAGAAAGGCTGAAACTTAAGTGGAAGCATCCTGAGGTAGTGTAGATTCTAATTGTTTAAATCATAACCCCTGGGGATTTGGCGGGGCCACAATAAGTACTACAAGGGGGGGGGGGGAGGGGTCAGGTGAAAAACAGCAAGGCCAAAGTTACTCAGGTGAGCATTGTGGCCCATGGACCTCTTGTTAACTACTTCCAGTTTGTTTCGATTGTACGTCAATATCTGCAAAATAGGTTATTTCAGGCTATCTCCATCGGTGTGACATTTATAATTCAATTTATTTGTACAGTGGCTGCAACGTTATTGTTGACAACTTACATGAACGATCACGTTACACGAACGATTCTGCACGATTAACGCACGATAAAATCTGTTACACGAACGATCCTTCACGCACACGATTCTACACGTTACACGATTGCTAACGCAAACACACGATTCTTCACGCAAAATAGTTCAAATTCTTTAGGAATGGATATTTTCAAAACGAAATAAGGCTTAATACTTATTTTAGATTTCAAATAATTATTGATATTATTTCATCGACTTTGAAAAATGAAAAAAAAAAATAGAAATGGGTATTTCTAAAACTAAATACATGTAAGATTTATTACTTATTTTAGATTACAAAAAAAATATTTACGTAATTCTCCGACTTGAGAAAACTGATTTTTTTTTTTTGGTTCTATCAAAAGATGTACATGTAGGTGGACCGTGAGTTTTGATTGAATTGGATTTCATAATATGCAGAAAGGGATAAGTTTGAGAAAAAAAATGAATTAAATTATAAGTTATATCCATGTTACCATGAATCTCTAAAATCAACAATTATTTTACAAATCATTTATTTGCAGAAATTCTAAAAATAATTAAAAGTAGTAAGCTCCAGAGATAAACACTGATAAACGAAACCCCGACAATCATGTCGTGTACATGTACATTCGCCGACTAAATATTTTTGTAAGCATTGAGAATTGTTTATTTATTTATTTGTAAATATATCTATTTTGATCTATTGATTTTAAAAATATCTTGACCATAATTAGCAGTAAACATAATTAACACTAGAGAAAAAAATCCTTAAACATCTAAGTACGGTTTATCACAAAAAACCACGCTATTTGACGAGAACATAATATTGTACGACTTGCTATATCGCTTATTTCCAAGCGATAATTAGTTCGTTCTGCTTTCAATTATGTAAATCGCGCTTCATTTATTTTATTTGGATTGAAAAAAAAAACCGACAAGCGAAATGCTTGTATAACAAATAACATTCCGATAAAAACTTACAAAACGAAATGTACACGTTTCTTAACGCACGATTAAAACCGCGAACGATTGAGTCTGATACACGCACGATCTCGCACGTTACACGAACGATCACGCACGTTACACGAACGATTCTACACGATTGGTTTGTCAACAATAACGTTGCAGCCACTGTAATATCTGTTAAAATAAGCAATTTCTGTACTATTTCCAATTTTGCCGGATTTACTTCATTCGAAGATTTTCTCACTAAATCACTAAATCGCTGAGATCTCCAAACCGGAAGTGACATCATCAATTTTTGTTTAAATTTTCTATCATACCTGAGAGTTTCATGCAAATCGAGCGATCCGTTTTCGAGAACACGTTTACACAAAATCGGTTAAAAAAATAAATGACCTGGCCAAACTTGAAGCTGCAAAAGTTTGAAAAAAATACCAACAACAGGAATATGGAATGGAAAGACACAAGACCTTTTTCGACCGAGGCCTCAAGGTACCTCAGTGCAAAAGGAAAATGGAGGAGGCACAGTTTGAAATGAACAGTTTGGAGTTTTTAGATGAAGTATCAGATGAGAATTTTACGGATAAGGAATATCAAAACCTCCAACGAGTTGCTCAAGAAAGATTATAAGACTTTGCGGAGGAACAATCAGAGCTGAAAGCTTTTTTTTTTTTTGGATAGAAAGGAACATAGTGTCACACCAAACAACACAACACTGTCTCCTATGGCACCACCATTTGTACCAAAACAGGACACAAGCAATGGACACATTAATGAAGTGTCGTCTAAGTTCCTCACAAAGAGAGATTTATTGTGCTGACTAATTGGCTCGGACCTGAGTAATCAAGATATTGACAAAGCATAAGGACGCCAGTGTGAATCCTGATGGTGCCTTAGCTCAACTATGGGAACGCTTGGAGGACAGATATGGGAGGCCGGATATGATCGAAGCAGCACTGAAAAACAAACTTTCTGCCTTCCCAAAACTCAGTATTAGAGACAAAAAACGATTGTATGACTTAGTGAACATTATCTCGGGAATAGAAGCAGCAAAAGAAATCCCACATCTCTCTTCGCCTTTCGCATACTTTGACTCATCAAGTGGAGTGAACCTCATTATGTCAATATCCCTTTACCAAGAGAAGTGGACCAGGTATGCAAACAACTCTAAGAAAGTCACTACATGACCTTTCCACCGTTCCATTTCTCCATGACACAGCACGGATGAGGAATGACCCATCCTTTTACGACGACAATGTGATTGAGACCACCAATATTGTTCGGGATGGGAGTCGACGAAAGTCACTGTACCCTACAAGCGCATCATCTGTGTCCGCAAGGAAAATTTACGCAAATGGACAAGTCAGAACATGCACAAATATGTCCCTTATATGAGACTGACCGTTCGTTGAATTGTTGTCGTGCCTTCCAAAAGAAAACTGTACCAAAGGGAAGGGAATTCCTTCAATCAAGAGGGATTTGTTTTAAATGTAGTTAAGAGAAACATTTGGCACAAATCAAAGGGATTCTGAAGGATGTTGGTGCGCACCACTTCCATTTTGAGAAAACCGACAGCTCCTTCCGAGCAATAGAACTTATGCACTTCAAAGCGCGAAACTACTAACTATAAGACTTCAGAAGGACCCTGATGAAAACATCACGTTGTGGAATTCATGAACAAGATTCTGGATAATGGTAATGCTGAGATTGCGCCATCGCTCTCTCCTCCAGAGGAAGAACACTGGAACTTGCCCCTTTTCACAGTTTAACACCCAAGGAAAGAAAGCATCAGATGTGTGTTTGACTCATCTGCCCAGATTCATGGACTCAGTCTCAACAGTGTTCTCTTACTGGATCAGACTTGGTAAACAGCCTTTTTGGGATCCTCAAAAGATTTCGCCAGTTCCACGTAGCGCTTACAGCAGACGTAGAGCAGATATTTTACCGTTTTTCATTTCTAGTGTGTCACAAAGACTACTTA